TCCTCAAAAAGAAACGTTTTGCTGATGTGAAAGACGTGAAAACAAAAAATGGCAAAAGCACTAAAAGGCATCAAAACTGACAAATCCAAAAACTGTTTTGAGCTGTGGAAAAAGCATATCAATAGGTGTATTGCTTCAAACAAAGAGAACTTTAAAGGTGACTGATGTTTAGTCATGTAAGAATAAATACACAATTTTTTATAAATAAAATCTGTGTTTTGGGGGTCCCCCCTCATATCTTTGAGATTCTCTTAAGAATCTACTATCCAGCCGGGCTCGGTGGCTCAGCCTGTAATCCCGCGCCTTTGGGAGGATGAGGTGAGTGGACTGCCTGAGCCCGCGGGTTTGAGACCCGCCTGGGCAGCGAGACCTCATCTCTACAATAAATCAAAAAATCGGCTGGGCATGGTAGCGCGCACCTGTAATTCCAGCTACTCGGAAGGCTGAGGCAGAAGGATCGTCGGAGCCCAGCAGGTGAGGCTGCGGTGGCTGGGAGGGGCCACTGCACTCCAGTCTGGGCGACTGAGTGAGACTCCAACTCAAAAAAAATAAAATAAAATAAAAGAATCTACTATCCTCATTTTTACGCCTCTTTGCCCCAAAAAACTATTTAGAACAGGATCTGATACTCATACATTCTTAAAAGTTAATCAGTTGCTTCCTCCACAAAAACCTGTATGTAAAAAGGAAAAACTCCAAGTGTCGATTGTTGTAAATAAGTTGATAGGTGCAGGTGCAGAGGTAACAGTAGGAGTCATGTTAACCTCTGTCATGCTGGCCCCCTTGACCAATCTGACAAGCAGTTTCTGTCCCACAGAAATAGTAATGAATAATAAAAGTGTATTAATTGATTTGTCATTTCTAGTTTCTAGGAAAAAAGTAATCTTACAGTTTATGGATAGTCTGGCTAATTTATGTGTTTAAAATAAAGACAAAGGAAAGCTTTAGCTAAAAATTTATCAAAATGAACTTAAGTAGTAATGAAGACAAATTTAAGCTTTTTGGCCTTTAGTATGATGCTAAAAGAACAAAAAATTTAAAAATAAACAAATACAGAGATATGGTCATGCTTGACATTTCTGATATTTAATTAATATAAATTACTGGTGTTGACTAATTAAAGGCGTGTCTGAAAAGATTACTGTCAGGATAATATATTGCAGGTATGATAAGGTACAGCAATACCGGGAAAGGGAGGTTTCTGGTGTAATTTTATACACAGCGAACTAAAACAATACGCTCAGCAAGCTAGAATTAGAGATGTAATTTCCTCTACTTGATAAAGAACATCTACCAAAAATCCTACACTTAGGTAAGAAACTAGAGCTTTCCTGCTAAGATCAGGATCAAGGCAAGATATCCCCTCTTATAATATCATGCCTCTTTTCAATATCATACTGGAAGTCCTAGCTAATATAATAAGAAAAGGAAAAACAATTATACAAGATTGGGAAGGAAGAAATAAAACTGTCTTTGCTTGCAAATGACAGTTGTAGAAAATCTGAAAGAAAACTGACAGAAGAAATAATCTGGAATAAATGATTATAACAAAGTTGATTTACAAAAAACAATTGTTTTCTAATATACTAGCAACGAACAATTGGAGCTCACAGTTAAAAACATAATACTGGCCAGGCGTGGTGGTTCAAAACTGTAATCCCGGCAATTTGGGAAGCTGAGGTGACAGAACTGCCTGAACTCAGCGGTTTAAAACCAGCCTGGGCAACTTGGTAAGACCTCACCTCTACAATAAATCAAAAAATAAGCCGGGCGTGGTAGCCTGTGCTTGTAGTTCCAGCAACTTGGAAGGCTGAGGGGGAAGGATCTCCTGAGCCTAGCAGGTCGAGGCTGCAGTGGTTGTTGAGTGTGCTACTGCACTCCAGCCTGGGCAACAGAGTGAGACTCCAACTCAAAAAACAAACAAACAAAAAATATTATTATTTACAATATTACCCCCTCAAAGAAGAAGAAGAAGAAATATTTAGGCACAAATTTAACAAAAGAAGTATAAGATGTATACGAGGAAAATTACAGAACTCTGATCAAAGGATTCAAATGATAATTACAAAAATAGAAAAGTAGTCCTTGTTTGTGAAAAGTGAGATTCAATATTGTTAAGATCTGAAGTCTTCCCAACTTGATCTATAAATTCAATATTATCCCAATCAAAATCCCAGCAAGTTTTTGGTGAATATTACAAGCTGATTCTAAAGTTCATACAGAGAAGCAAAAGAGACCTAGATCAATGGAACAAAATAGGATACCCCAAAATAGAGCCAAAGAGCTAGAACCATCTGATTTGACAAAGGAACAAAAGGCAATTCAATGGAGAAAGGAGACTTTTTTTCTTTTTAGTTGGAGTCTCACTCCGTCGCCCAGACTGGAGTGCAGTGGCCGCTCCCGGCCACCGCAGCCTCGACCTGCTGGGCTCCGGCGATCCTTCCGCCTCAGCCTTCCGAGTAGCCGGAATTACAGGCGCGCGCTACCATGCTCGGCTAATTTTTTAATTTTATTGTAGAGATGAGGTCTCACCTGCCCAGGCAGGTCTTGAACCCGCGGGCTCAGGCAATCCACTCACCTCGGCGAAAGGAGAATCTTTTAAACAACTGGTGCTGGAATAACAGGACATCCATATGCCAAAAAAAAAAAGACACAGACCTTACACCCTTCACAAAAACTAACTCAAATTGGATCACAGACATAAACATAAAACTAATAACTATAAAACTCCTAGGAGAAAACACAGGAGAAAATCTAGATGACTTTGGGTTTGGTAATGACTTCTGAGATACAATATCAAAGGTATAATAATCCATGAAAGAAAGTACTGGCAAGGTGGACTTTCTTAGAAGTAAAGAACTTCTGCTCTGAGAAAGACACTGCCAAAATAATTAGAAAACAAGTCACAAACTGGGAGAAAATATTTGCAGAAGACTATTCTAACAAAAGATTGCAATCCAAAATAGACAAAGAACTCCTAAAACTCAACAATGATAAAATAACCAACCTAGGTTGAGCACAGTGGCTCATGCCTGTAATTGAGAGGAAAAGCAGAAGGATTACTTGAGCCTAGGAGTTCAAGATCAGCCTGTGCAATATAGCAAGACCTGGTCTCTATTAAAAAAAAAAAAGAGCCTGGGTAGCGAGACCTCATCTCTACAATAAATCAAAAAATCAGCCGACCGTGGTAGCGCATGCCTGTAATTCCGGCTACTTGGAAGGCTGAGGCGGAAGGATCACCGGAGCCCAGCAGGTCAAGGCTGCGGTGGCCGGGAGCGGCCACTGCACTCCAGTCTAGGTGACAGAGTGAGACTCCGACTCAAAAAAAAAAAAAGAAGAAGAAAAATTAGCCAGGCGTGGTGGCACGTGCCTATAATCCCAGCTACTTGGGACTGAGGCGAAAAGATCATCTGAGCCCAGGAGGTTGAGGTGATCCATAATTGTGCCATGGCACTCCAGTCTGGGCAACAGAGTGAGACCCTGATTCCAAAAATTAAATAAATAGATAAATAAGTAAATAAATGAAACTGATTAAATAATAGGCAAAAGATCTGACCAGACACCTTATTAAAAATATACAGGTGGCAAATAAGCATATGAAAAGATGCTCAATATCATATGCCATTAGGGAATTGTAAATTAAAACAGTGAGGTTGGGCGTGGTGGCTCATGCCTATAACCCCATGATCAAGTCATCGCACTTGAACCTGGGTGATAGAGACAGAGTGAGAACCCCCCAACTCAAACAAAAAACAGTGAAAGCAGGGTACAGTGGCACATAGCTACCCCAGAGGTTGAGGTAGGAGGATTGCTTGGGCCCAGGAGTTTGAGGTCACCCTGTGCAACAAAGCAAGACTCATCTCTTTAAAAAAAAAAAAAAAAGAGAGAGAGAGAGAGAGAGAGAGAGAGAGAGAGAGAGAGAGAGAGAGACAGATACACCTATCAGAATGGCTAAAATTCAAGTCTAATAACAGAAAAATATTGGAGAGGATGTGGAACTACCTGAACTCCCATTTGTTGCTGGTGGGAATGCAAAATGGTACAGTCACCTTGGAAGATAGTTTTAGTTTCTCACAAAAGTAAATTATGCACAAAAAGTCCTGCATCAATGTTTACGGCAGCTTTACTCATAACTGCAAATACTTGGAAACAATCAAGATGTCCTTCAAGAGGTGCATGGATAAACTGTGGGACATCCAGACAACAGAATACTATTTGGTGCTAACATGAAGTGAGCTTTCAAGCCACACAGGCATGAAGGAAACTTAAATCCGTACTTCTAAGTTAAGGAAGACAATTAAATAGACAACATATTTTATGATTCTAACTATACATTCTGGAAAAGGGAAAACTATGGAGACTGTAAAAAGATTAGTGGTTGCCAAGGGTTTGGGGAGAGGGGGCGATGAATGGTGAAGCAAAGGAATTTTTAGGGCAGTGAAATTCTATGATACTACGATAGTAGATTCATGTCATTATACATTTGTCAAAAACCACCAGAACACAAAACACCAAGAAAGAACACTAACGTACAACAGCCTTTGGGTAATCATGACGTGTCAGCACTGCTTCACTGATTTTAACAAATGTAGCGTTCTGGGGGGAGATGTTGGAGTCGGGGAGGCTATGCACGTGTGGTACGGCATAAAGGTGGTGCTGATGATGGTGGAGGTTGTGCATGTGTGGGATGAGGTGCTGACGATGGGGAGGCTGTGTCTGTGTGATGAGGGCACAGCAACTTTGTATTCTCCACCCAATTTTGCATAAAAACTGCTCATTATATATATAAAATAAAGTGCATTAACGTTAACATCTAGTTGTAAGACTTTTATCATTCTCTAAGATTTATCCACTTTGAAACAGATAAAAAGTGAAGTTTTATTAGCAACCCTCTCGGGTCCCGTCCCACTGTGGGAACTTTTCTGTCCTCTCAATAAATCCTGCTTTTTAAAAAAAAAAAAGTGACATTTTGTTCCAAGTCTCCAAGAGTCCAAACTTACTAGCTGTACTGTGTGATGGGCTCTATATTCATCTTCACTCCGAGTGCGCTGCTGGAATTTTTCATTGTGTTTTGCAATGCATATTTCCTATAAAGACATAAAACAAGTTTTAATACAAGTGAAACTTGAAAGGTGCTGAATACTACACCAAGGTTTACTTGATAAACTTTGATCTTAATATGTACCACCTACATGACTAAGTACCATGTTAACTACCTCTTGTTTCTCATCTGGATTACTGAAACTATATAAGCCAAATAATCAAGAACTTAGAAGAGAATCTTTACTAAACTGTTAACTTCTCTAGGCCTCTTGATTTCTCTTTTTTCAGAGGGGAAGACATGGGCAAGATGATAGGAAAGGGGCATTCTTAGATCATCTAAAAGGTCTCTTTTAGGGCTGAAGTCTGTGGTCAGAAGATTCTAAGTCTCATTATACTTAAAAAAATTTTTTTTAAATTAACAAACAGAGGCTTGCTATGTTGCTAAGGCTGGTCTGGAACTCTTGGGCTTCAAGCAACCCTCCCACCACAGTCTCCTAAATTGCTGGGATTACAGGCGCGAGCGACCACATTCCGTTTCATTATATTCTTTAAGCAAGCCTGGGCAAAAAAGAATATACAACCGTTGGCTTAAAATCTGTACCCTTAAGCTCTATGTCATAAAGACCATGATCTTGCCCAAACTTGCTTAAACAGCATTATGAAATCTGAGTGTTCTAGTCACAGACATCAGAGCCATGAGAGACTTTATTTATTTTTTTTATTTTTTAATTTTTTTTGAGTTGGAGTCTCACTCTGTCACCCAGACTGGAGTGCAGGGTCCGCTCCTGGCCACCGCAGCCTCGACCTGCTGGGCTCCGGCGATCCTTGCGCCTCAGCCTTCCAAGTAGCCGGAATTACAGGTATGCGCTACCACGCCCGGTTGATTTTTTGATTTATTGTAGAGATGAGGTCTCGCTGCCCAGGCGGGTGTCGAACCCGCGGGCTCAGGCAGTCCACTCACCTCAGCCTCCCAAAGGCGCGGGATTACAGGCTGAGCCACTGAGCCCGGCTCCCTGCCATCTTACAAAACCTTCTTCAAGCCAGGAATTGGCATGATATGAACCGACCATTTATGGGACGAGATGGTCAGCTAGTCTCATTATTGTAATTGCTGCTTGTTCATAATACAAAGATATCTAAATGATGGCCTATAAAATGACGCAAATGGGGCTAAATTCACAGAATCCATTTTTTTCCCCAGCTGAGAATTTATTGATGTAAACGCCACCAAATAAACCATGTTATTGGTCTGGGCGCAGTGACTCACGCCTGTAATCCTAGCACTTGGGAGGCCAAGGTGAAAGAACTGCTTGAGCCCAGGAGTCAAGAGCAGCCTG